AGTTTTGAATAAAATTTTCAATTTTTTTAGAACTTTTATGTTTAATATAGAAATAATTTAAAAAGATTATACTATATTACATAATACTAATTTAAATTAATTTTTAACTATATTTTAAATAAATTAAGCGGCTCAATAAGCTCACGAGCTGAGCTAAGTTGAACTCGAGTTCGAGCTTATTTAATATACGAGCTCAAGTACATGCTCAAACTTGAATTCGTGGCTCAATAAACTCGACTTATATGCTCGTTAACGAGACGAGCTTAAGTCAGCTCGGCTCACTTACACCTCCAAAATAAGCATATAAGCTACTTCTGAATTTAATTAAATATTTGTGTATTCTTTCTCCATCCTATTTTGATCACAAAATAAACATATAACCAAACCTCCATTTGTTTCCTCTATAAACCCTAATCTGAAACCCTAAAAGACAAGTAACAAAAGAAGTAAAATATTTTTTTAGGGCTCAGTAGCTCAAAGCAACCATAGAGAATAAGATCCATTGAGGCAGTACAGCATCATTCCACATTTTGTGAGATTGAGAGTCAATGATGGAAAGAATTATCCCAATTTAAAGTCCCTTTAGCCTAAACTTTAGAATAAATCCATTGATCTTAGTCCACTAGCAGTAGCTGTAGGAAATGACTCAGAACCTAAAAGAAACCCACAGAGATGGCAAATCATTACGTCCGGTGTCCGGATTCGTCCGGACACCAATCCAAATGCACCACGTCACAAAAATACACCGGGATCCAGTGTATTCGGATGACATGGTGCCTCTGGATTGGGTGTCGGGACGTCCGGTGACCGGACGTAATATTCACCCACAGAGAGATGGTTCAATGACTTTGAACAGTAAATGAAACAAAACAATAGAAATTACAGGAAGCTGTGCAGATATTTCAATCTAAAATATTCATTTTATTTTTCAGCTACTCAATATTTTTTTCTTGGAAAAATATCAAAATAGTCTCTTGACTCTTTATGAAGGATCAAAATAATCTTCAATTATATTAAAAAATTATTTTGACCCCTCAAAGTCTTTAAAAAGGAATCAAAATAATCCCATGATGTAACTATTTTGATATCGTTTTAAAGAATTTAGAGATCAAAATAGTCATTTAATATACATGAAACTATTTTAGTCTTTCATAAAGAGTCAATGAATCATTTTAATATTTTTATTTTTTTTTTTTTGTTTCTTTATAAAAGATCAAAGGGTCTTATATACTACAAGAGAATTTAAGAGTTATATTTTATCTACAATCAAATAATATTGAAATTTATAGTGACGACAACAAGATGTAGCAGTCAATTTACAGTGGCAGCGATAAGAGATAGCTCATAACTTCAACAACACTATCAATTGCTCTAACAGTCACTTGCGCCAGCCTTGGATTGGAGAAATTATTCTGTGCAGACGCCGGACGGTCCGGAGACCAACCAAAACGTGCCACATCACCCGATACACAGTGATGCCGAGCAATTCATATATTAAGCTGACTATAAACTACTTCCATCATAAGAATTTCCTCAAAAGGAAGCTGATCTACAAGCTAAAATTAAGCCAACAGCAAAAGGGTCCTACAATGACAAGACCCATATGGCCACATATTGCCTCCCACCCACCAAAAAATATAAACAGTGATTGATGCATTCAGCAGCTAATGTTCTTCAATGCCATGGCCTCATTTCTTCCACTAATGGCACCAAATGAAAACAAAAATGGATACAGAAACCTTAGAAAATTTCCAAATTAGTCCCTTTTCCCCACCAAATTTCTTCTCCATTATCCATTTTGGGATGTGGGGAAGCCTTTGTTATGAACTTATCATGATCATTCATAAAAAAAGATCAATAAAAGATAATTTTCTAGTCTTTATATGTGTAGTGATTGGACTTTGTATGGACAATGAGACTCATCTTGATGTCGTATGCTTTGGAGGCAACCACAGATTAAATAAAAGCTTCTTTCATTCAGATGAGTTAATGCATTTTTATAATGTTTTTTTATTTATATTTTATTAAAAAAATGTAATGTTGTCTTCATGAATTTGTGATAAGTATTTTTGCTTCTATAGATTATTCTATTAATTTGGCCTAATTTTAAAAAGGCCAAGCCCTCACAATCTCTTTGACATAAAAATTACTAAACAAAATATTGTAGTTGTCTTGATCATATTAAGCTAAATTAGTATTCTAATAGAAAATACTTGAGTTCGCAACTAACCCTAAGGTAAATACTTGAGTTCGCAAGCAAACCTAGCAATAATTGGTAAAAATAGCGAGAAATATGCTGATTTCAGAGAAAAAACAGCAAAAATTATGCAGGAATTTCAAAATATTGGAGAGAAACACAAGGAAAACTTCTTCAATTCACTCAACGAACAATAAAAGTGAGACAAGATATAAGTTTCTTTGATTCTAGAGGAAGAAACAACTCTCCGAATCTCTAACAACACCTAGAGCCCAAGAAGACAAACCCTAGATCTCAAATTTCTTCCAAATTCAAGATAATCCCCAAACCCTAGCAACCAAGACTAATTAAAGAAAAAGAAAAATAACATAATTCCTAAACAACCCTTCATTCAACCTGATTCGATCTAACCTGGAACGATATCATGAACATATCAGTATTCAATCATAAATGGTTGAAGCATTCCAAAGCAGAATTCTGGAGCAAGATAGTTTAGTAGGGAAGAGAGATTTGTGATTTGAATATCATTATCATATGTGAAAAGTGCAAAGAGTAAGAGGTCAGGGTGCTCAAAAAAGCAGAATTTATGTTCAAATTTTGATCATCGCAGGAGATATCATAGATCAGTCTGCATCCAGAAAGCTAGTTATAAGAAAAAAAAAACAAACATTATATAGATAGAACACAAGTTCAACACACCTTCCAGATAGGTGAAGCATCAGTTTCATTTCTAATATTTTGAGATAGGTGAGGCATAGATTTCAATTCAATGATTCTCCTTCCTACTTTGAAGATTGCCACCAACCACTTAATTTGAATGATATTGTTCTTTACCTTTAGAATTTAGGCCAATGTTAAGTTTAGGGTTTTTCTTTATAAGTTTTCATCTATGAGGCATCGACACTTCTCCTCAAAGAGACGTGCAGTGTCCGACACTCCTCTGACACGTGTCGGACATGCTGAAAACGTGTCAGATTAAAAAATTATTAATTACAAAATTAACACACGTGTCTGACACACGTATCTAAAATATTTTATAAATTTTTTTTAAAATATAATTTCTTGTATTTAAAAATTTTACTTATTTAAAATATAAAAACTAAATTTCGTATTTCCTATCCACAATACCAAATCAATCACCCGCACTTTATACCCCATTCATTGAATATTCTCATTTTCATTTCTCTATGGAAGTGAAGGTATTTTCATCTCCTCTCTCGATGACTGATAAACTGCATCGACATTCGACTCTCGACATCCTGATATTAATCATTTTAATTAAGCACAAATTCTTGTTAAATGATTCATTATTTCTAAATTATTTTTAAAATTATACTTATTTAATTTTTATATACTATTTTTAAATATAAAAAATATAATACCGTGTCCTAATATTTTCAATAATTGACGTGTCCCGTGTCCATGTCATGTCGTATCCGTGTCGCCGTGTCCATGTTTGTGCATCATAGGTTTTCATAGGTTGGTATCTAAGAAATTAGTTATAAATTTTCTTACAATCAAACCATAATGAAATCTACAACAGCCACAATAAGATGTAACTATCTAGTGGATGAACATATAAAACCTTTTTAAATGTTAATTTTCTTTTATGTTTTCTGATATTTTTAGTTATTGTTAAATGTCTAACAATATTAAGAAAATTGCTAGAAAAGATTCTAAAAGAGTTTAGAAATAAATCAAATAAGATTATATGGTGGAACTAGAAAGTATAAAATGTTATTAAGAAAAGAATGTCTTCAAGAGACGAGAAAAACACACATACAATTATGAGATATAAGAAAGTTAAGAATTTCAAAATTTTAACTACTACTTATATTACAACCATAAACTCTAAATTTTATGGTAATAGTGGGCACTTATACATTATTATCATTAAAATATTCTTATAACCCTAAATTTAAAATTTTCTTTTAAAATCCTAATGCTAATTTAATTAACTACCCATAAAATTCAAGTTTACGCTTCTCGATATATACACTACCCCCACTCAATGACAATCCCAAATAGATAATGTTGATTTTTAAAAAAATTATGTCAAATTGTCTCTAGAGATGGCATTTAAACTCTATCACACAAGAGGATTGGTGTTTGCATGGCGGGGGAATTCATCTCTTAGAGCGGACGAATTCTCCTTTCAAGAAATCATCGACCCTTGTGGCAAGATAAGATACCGTTTTATAGACCATTTTGCTCCGATTTTTCAATTTAATTTTGTCTTGGTCCACATTCCACCAACCAATTCCACCTATTCCTCCATTCCTTAAAATTTCTTCGATCCAGCGCTAAAAAGAAAAGTGAGTATGATATTTTTCAATTCTCATTTAGCCTTCCTTTCAAGTATCAGAAATAACTTGTATTTCGACACTAAACAGCCAAGACTAAATTACATAAAAGTGTTTCTTTTTTAGGTAAGATATGAACATTTAACCTTCCATTGAAGATCAATGATTAATTATAAGGTTTGAAAGTTCTAATAGAGAACATCACAATCGAACGCTTTTCATTATAGGATTTCAAATCATAACTAGTACATGCTGAAAGCTATGTTAGAGCTTTATGACATTTTTTAGAACAAAGCATCACAACTCCATAATATTTTATAAGTAATAATATTGACAAGAATTCAGGGGGACAGGTTTTCCTTGGTCACTTTTGTTTCAATTTTTTCTTTTGTTTAGCTATTTACATGTCAAGTAATGTCTGCTGAATTTTTCATGCACCCACTATGAAATTTGAATAAACAAGCATGAAATCATACTGTTGTCAAAGAATTTATTGATACTTACCAATAATCTCTGCAAGAACAGGATCCATCCGTAAAGTGATGGTACCGATTCCGATCCCTTACAATGATAACCCTCCCATAAATTTTTGATAAAAGCTTAGTACTAGAATGGCAGTCATCACAAACTCTCTGGTTCTTCACAATTCGAAGAGGAGTATGAGGTTCTGTGCTAATAAGCCCAAATGCAATAGCCAGATTCTCACTATGGAAGCAAAGTGTGCTCTCCTTCTCTTCCTCATCTATGTTTAACAGAACCACAGAGGCATTTGGAACATGTCCTGCCTGTTTCAGTAGCCTTTTCATTTCGGCAACCATATTATGAATCTCCTTAGTCTTTGGATGAGACACATCACCCATTACATACTCATGAATGGTACCATTTAATTCAATAGAGCTCACAGCAGGAGCTTTCTTCAGTCCTCCATCCTTTATAGCTCTTCTTACTTCTGCAACATCACTCCATCTACCTTGAGCAGCATATATGTTTGAAAGCAAAATATTGCAGCCAACATTTAGAGGATCTAACTTAAGAATCTCACTTGTTGCCAATTCTCCCAAACTCAGATTCTTATGAACCTTACAAGCAGCTATAAGTGCACCCCATACTACCACATTGGGTAAAACATGCATTCTTGTTATCATCTCACAAGCTTCGTCAAGAAGCCCAGCTCGTCCGAGGAGATCCACCATGCATCCATAGTGCTCCACTCTTGGAACCAATCCATATTCATTTATCATTCGATTGAAGAATTTTTTTCCTTCTAACACCAATCATGTATGGCTGCAAGCTTTCAATATTCATACAAAAGATATTTCATTTGGTCTAATCTTTGTAACCACCATCTGTGAAAAAAATCTGATTGCTTCATTCCCACAACCGTTCATAGCTAGGCCATTCAACATAGCATTCCACATGCAAACATCTCAGCCTAATATTGTCAAACTTTTATTGACTATTATTCTTGCTTACCAATAATTGACAATTATAGTTTTATTAGTTATTAGTGTCTAACACCCACAATCTCTCGACTTATCCAAATATTAAAACCCAACATTCATTAGCTATAAGTGTCCAACTCTCATCTTCTCAATTATTCAGTCTTAGATCTAATCAAGAGAATGACTAAAGTATATTGCTTATCATGTCCCAATTTTTTATTCTTTATTTACAGTTGTTTGACACCAACCGATGTCCATTTCCTAACATCTATCAACAATCATTACCCGATGCCTCACAAGGATCATTGCACAATATTCTTAGCCACTAACATCCAACATCCATCTTCCCATTTGTCTAATCTTTCCTCTTACAAAGGTAAAAAACTAAGATGATTGTTCATAATAAAACTTTTAACATTCCCTTTTTAATGATACTTAGCTATGACTAATATTTGTCGTTTGTCAGTTTTTTGCATTCAATAGTCATTTTTATAACTGCTTGATTCATTTTCATATCAGGAAAATGACTAATTAATCAATTATCCACCATGGCATAAAGCAAACAATTCATATCAACCATTGGCTAACTCTTGCCAACGAATACCTTTTAACGTTTACTAGATCCTACTATCATACAATTATCGTTTAGATCACTCAACAACCTTCATATTATGACGACAATCAAGATGATAGCCTACTATCACCTAAGGATTACTAATAATATTTGCTAGCTACTAAGGTCTGACGTTCAGCTCTAGTATACCCTCTTATCAAGAGAATAATCATGCTAATTGCTCTCAATTATTGGGCTTCCAACATCCACGATCAATTGTTTCCTAACACTCATTAGTTGATTTTAATTCTAATACCTCAAAACTCTTCTTATTATCATAATATATGTCTCATAGGATTCAAGCCTATTACAACATTTTAGCACATTTGCCAATGATGGAGATCAATATCTTTTGTAATACTCTCTGCTCATGATAACATAACTATTTTCAATGAATAAAGACATTTGAATATTCCTCTTATCGAGTTTTCAAATAAAAAATTTATGTCTCTTGCATTTTCTGAGATTTTCATTTAATATCAAGATATTAAGTTATCTCTATCGCACTGACTTTTTTAGCATATTGATAAAAACTATTTTTATTTATATTATTTTCTTCAAATGCAAGATCAAAATTATTAATATTAATTGATGTTCTCATATATTGTTCATTTCTCATAGTTGGGCATTTACTGTGGCTATGAAAATATCAATTTTATAATGATGCTCTAATGTAACAATTTTCTTTCTATAATGAGAGCTCTTTTGACTTCCTACAAATAGAGCATTTACATCTCAAGTCTCAACATCATCATATGAACTAAAGAATCTTATCCTCTTTCTCTTAATTTTTTATGTTGTTTAATTATTGATACTGAATCCATTTTTGGTAATGCTTGGTGTATATCATTCGTAAAAGATTATTAAAAGGGTCGAATTTTTCGACACAAATATAAGAGATTATCTCACATTGGCTAAAAAATGTGTTATGATCGATATTCTCGAGATATCATTAAAAGTCATTGGACTTGCTTTGCAATTAGTATAATATAAACTCTTCATATACTCATCTAATCTCAAAATAATAAGTTGGTTGGTTGTGAACTTGTTGTGGGGAATATATATATATATATATATATATGCCATAGAGGCGAAGGAGAGGAACTCAGGATAAAACTGAGAAGTTTGCGAACGACACGCGAACCATAGGACCACCGAGAGCGATAGAAACCGGCCCACAACACCGCGTCAAAAAAAGCCTTATCCACCGCATTCGATTTTCGAATTAAATTATTTGATGATTCGATTTTCTGGTTTAATCATTTAATTCAGTTTATTTTAGGTTCTTTTTTAGATTGTTTATTTATTTTTCCAATCTTATTTTTTTAATAGAAGAAAATTGGATTGAGATATCTAATAAAAATATGACTATATATATATATATATATATATATATGAGTTTTCTTAAATAATTTTTTGTAAGAACTCTATTTCTTCAATAATTGCGTGTTTATTAACTTATGGAAAAAGAGTTTTTTAAAATATTTTTTTTGTGCAATTAATTCTTTTTTAAAAATCATTATAATAACAGCTGTCCATTATATAATATTTCTTTTGAAATGGTGGAGTCCAACGACAGTGTAAGGATATTGTAGCAGTCGTGGCCGATGAAGGAAGACTTGTTGCTGTTCGATATTTTCAAATACAGCCAAACCGTCCACTCTCTTAACTTCGTCTGGCGATCCAATCTATTCAGTTAGGAAGAAATTTTCATTTCGTGAAGGATTGAGAGCGATAATGACGATAGCAACGTTGATAATGCTTTTAAGGATCTGTTTGGACGGCATAATCTTTTTTTTTTAATTATTAAAAATTAGATGAAATTATTATGACTTTTTTTTGTTAGAAGTAATTATGGGTAATATAAATTTTTAGTTCCAATGCCCTAAACTTCAATTTTTTTTTTTTTTAACAGGAAAACTACCTGCTGCCACTCCAAAGAGAGCACTTGGTGGCATAACTAATCTCTCGGCAAAACCTAGTGAGGCCACCCACCGGCATCGGATCTATACTTGCTTTGCCCCGCTAAAGAGGCGAGGCTGTAGTAGAGGGGATTCGAACCGGGATGGGAGGTTCCAAACCGTGCTCACCCACCAACCACCCTAAGCCTCGGTGGGTTTAAATTAGCTTTTTAATGCAAAAGTTTAATTTTTATACTAAAAACTTGCTTTAAGAAGTAGTAAAAAAGTCATCCTATGCTTCGTCTGGAACGGCTTTTTTATTGCTTCTTAAACGAACTTTCTAGTACAAAAAATAAAATTTTTATATTAAAAAACTGTTTTAAGAAGCAGTAATTAATCTATCCCAAATGAAGCCTTACTCTTTAAGAAACTATTTCTCAAAAAGCATCTTTTAAACTATAGCTAAGGCTTCATTTTAGACAATTTTTTTATTATTTTTTTTTATATCGAAATCATAATTTATATTTGACCACATCCCATAGCTTTTTTCATTGTTTTCAAAATAATTTTATACTAGAAATCTGTTTTCTACTACAACTTCAAAAAATTAATTTCTCTACAATAATTTTAGAAAACAATAAAAAAAAACTATTTGAAATGAAGTCTAAGAAAGAAGCTTTTAAAATAAAAAACAAAACAAAAAAAGCGTAAACAATCGCAAACAAAGCCTAAATTTGGTTGAAAAAAAAAACTTTTTTTAAAAAATCGCGAGAAAATAGTAAGAAAGAAATAGTCAAATAAAAGTGTTATTGAGTTTTTGAAAAAAACAAAATTGTCAGAAAATGCACAAATAGACCCAAAATTTGAAATAGTGAATAGGACTCATTTGGTTACTCAAAGTTAAATAAAGATAGTTTGAAAATTAGTAATTTGATTAAATTTCGCCATTGGGTAAGAATTATTCATGCATTAGTAGTGATTTTAAACTTTAATGATATCTTAATTTTGTTTAATAAAATAATAATTTCATTTTCAGAATGTATTATTAGTATTTTAGTTCACAAGCAGCCAAATCAGGCCAGAGATTTTTCACTGTAGGGCGCACGCTCAAGCTGTCAGTAAGAAGATTAGTTAGACAAGCGATTAATTAAAAAACTAAAATCCAATGTGCTTCCAATGTGCTTACCCATTAAGAAAATCATATTATTTATTTGAGAATTATTTTTCTTTCCTAAAAGCAACTGACTAATGAGCTATTTAGTATGGAATTAAAAAAAAGTATATTGTATTCTCTGAGTATATATATATATATATATATATATATATATATATATATTATTGATTGGTTGAAAAACTAAATGCATTACATTTCAATTTCTATCTAGCACAAGACGAGAAGTGGATAAGGGACTACACATACTGCATTGCAAGATTATGGGTAAATTATTACGTCTGGTCCGATCCGGACATCCAATCCAGATGCGCCACATCACCTAAATGCACTGGGACCCGGTGTATTTTGGTGACGTGGCGCATTTGGATTGGTGTCTGGACGAATCTGGACACCGAACGAAATAATTTTTGCCAAGATTATGGGCCACGAAAAACTCAGTAAAAACATAGTTAGTGTTCATCACCACACTTTTATTGTTCATAGAGACAAAACCGAACAGTTCTTTGTGTCTAGTTTACACGCGTAATAATCTCTCCTATTTAAGACAAACATTTATGTTGCATTGTTTCAGTATTGCTTTTGTGATACTTACTCGTTATTTTTTAGAAATTTAGGTGATGAAAAGTTATGTTTTTACAACAAGAATATCTAAGTTGTTTTGTCCATATTAACTTTACAACCAGCTTTATGAAAAGTTGTGGCTATTTCAAACTGACCCTTAAGAAATCTTATATAGCAAAATTAAGTTAATCAAGTAAGGATTAAAACTTAAAATTTATTGGAATCAAAATTAAAGATTTTTTATAAGAAATCCTTTAATTTGATGAATAATTAGAATGATGGAAATTAATAAGTTCTACATTTAATCAAGAACTCTCTAAAGAATTTGATGTGCCAATAAATTCTATTTTTGCTTAAATCCACCCTAAGGGCTGTTTGGTAGCACCCAGAATTTGATTTAAGTGGGATTTCGTAAATCCTCTAAATATGAATTTCGGAAATCCTCTAAATCCGGATTTCGGAAATCCTAAGGTGCTTAAATCCTAAAAATTATTTGATAACATTCTTGAAATCCTATTAAGTCCCGTGTGACTGTTTGGCTATAGAGCAGATTTAACGAGCGAACTCTTCCTCTCGAGGCAATGGATTTCATAAATCCAGCAAAAAACGGGATTTCGGAAATCCGAAATTTAGCACGAAAAGGCGGAATTTTCCGTCCAAGGCGGCTTTCATTTGCCGTGGGATTTGGTTTTGCATTTTAGGCCCTTTGGCTGGATTTCGCACAAATCCGCCTCAAATCCTGCTACCAAACAGCCCTTAAAATAGAAAACCAAACAGTCCATAATGCTCAAATAATTCCCCAATCTGTATCAGCACATCATAGCTGCTGTTGTATTCGTGCAGAAAATCTTCTCATATCCTTCATTGCGCTTAATTTAACAGAAAATATCATCAAATTTATAGGCGATTAGCATCTTCTTGGAAGAAATGAAGCATAATTGCATTCAACTTACAGGACCAGAAATGGACATCATATTTCATCATATCTACTGAACCTACCGTAACCAATCTTACATGAAAAGCAAAAACGCCCAATTTGTATTCTGCTTAAGTAATTCAATTCAAACCCACAGTGATACGTTCTTGCCACTGTTTCGAACAAATCTTCAATCTTATTTCGGGATAATCTTTGGGTTTTGTACAGGTTACAGCATCACTCTAATTTATTTACACAAACCATTCATAAATCTCTACATAACAAATCTTAAATCTCATTACTCCATTTCTTGATAACCCTAAAGGTTCTGTTTAGTTTGTTGATAAAGGATCGAACATAATGATCCTTCTCCACCATTAAGTATCATATATCGATTATCAAAACACCATTTCCATCCTCGCAGCTTCAAAATAATTACCAATCAAATCCCAAAACGCAAAACTAAAAAAGCGAAAAATCAAAGGAACTATAAAACGAAAGTAAGGAGTCACCTCTAGCGAGGAATAACAACAGGATCAGATCTAACTTATCATGTACAGTGCGGAATAGTAAACACCGGCGCGTTCGCCGGCGCCGGTTCGTAGTAAAAGGGCTCCGCCGGATGCCGCCACCGTCCGGCCTCTTCCCTTCCTTCAGTCACACTGGCTGATGCTTTCTCTGCTGCATCTCCAGCCTTGCCCGAAAGCTCGGGTCCCCGGTGATCTTCTATGACGGGGATGGAAACAATATCAAGCGGCGAAAGGAGCGGGATGGCGATCTTCCATTCCGCCATGTTGCCGGAGGTCGGAACCACCTGAATCGACGAAGGGGCGTGCATTCGCAGCCTGCTCCGATGTTGCCGGATCTTCCCGTTGTCGCCTGCTCCCACCGATTTCGCTGTCGACATCCCCAAAACCCTAGCTGTAAGAGTTCCTCAGAAAGCCTTCAATGATTATTTCGGTAACAAAATCGACGGCCGTGAACTCTAATATATAGAAAGCCGGAGAAATCGGTGTGCATGTGGCGAACACGTGGGTAATTATTTTCTTATTGAGTTCGTTGAGCATGGGTCCCGCTCAATTTTTTTTTATACTTTTTTTTAAAATGAATGAGCGATCAATTTTAAAGTATATGACTTAAATAGATAATATTTACCAGCTGAGCTGAAATATTTTCAAGAAGCTTAGGCAGAGTGGATAGTTCTCTCTCATTATATTAAATTGTGTTCGACATTGCACACAATGATCAACCAATATTTGAGAAATTCACAGTGTTCATAAAATATATGGCTTTAAGTAAAATTTCTTCTCAAATGGCTTAGACTACGTTTGTGATAACTTTTTCATTACTTTTTAAATTTTTTTTTTGGGTTTAATCGGGGCATAGCCCATTTTATTAATAAAAACGAAGGTTATAAGATGACAAACATAAAAAAACAGAATGCAAACAAAAGAGCTAATACATACTCAAAAAAACAAAACAAATTAACCAAGAACAGATTTGACAATTATAAAGTAACCAAGACACAACAAAAAGCCAGAGCCAGCAGCAGATAAAATACTCCAGCAAGACAGAGCAAACGACCAAACAGAAGGGCTTGAATCCAATCAGAACTGGAATTTCTCAATTAGGTGGTTGTAATTTTTCCAGCTACAAGCCTTGACCTTGATAGCATTTTTTATGGTGCTAATAATAGTACCCGGAGAACTCCAATTGTTAGCAAAGAGTCGATTATTCCTTTCTCTCCATATATGATAAACTGTGCAACAAATCGTCAGGCAGCAAAAATCTTTCTCCCATTTGTTAAAATGCAGCGGGTTATCCAAAGACTCTAAAACATGAATCAAATTTGGTCTTAGTAAGAAAGTTTTAAATTCAGGAATAAGATTAGTAATGACATTAAAAGTAAAATCACAATAAAAGAATAGATGGTTGTGATCTTCCTTGGCTTTATTGCAGAGACAGCAGTCTGGAGAGAACTGGATTGATCTCTTGATCAATAAGTTAGCGATTTTCAATTTCTGCAAAATAGCCATCCAAGTAAAAATAGAATATCTAATGGAATAATACTTGTGCCACACGTAATTATGCCAAGAAACCTCCTCCAAATGATCATAGTAAGAAGTCATAAAATTCTTAAATTTAGGATTAAAAGAGCCGTCCCAAGCCAAAGCTGGTTGCTCTTTATTCTCCACAGAATAAATAACATGCCCAATATTCTCAGGAAAAGAATCCGGAAGCCGCCAATGAAAACTGCATAGCAATTTTATCCCAAGCAATCATATGAATTTTCTTACCATCACTATTCCCATGAAATAAGAATTTGGAACACAGCTTAGAAATAGATTTACATATGTCTTTAGGTATAATGGATCCTTTTATCCAATAGGCAAGTGTATTAGAAATAGTAAACTTCAAGAATTGTACTCTACCCGCAAGAGATAGAAGTCTCACCTTCCAACCATCAAGCAGTGAAGTAATATTACTTAAAAGCTGATGAAAATGATTAGCATTAAGCCTTTCAGGAGAGATAGGAATCCCCAGATAAGTGAGGAAACTATTCCTCTGAGTAATTCCCATAATACTACAAAATTGATCGGCATCCATAGAGTGATGAGAAAAAATAATAGAACTTTTAGAGGAGTTGATACTAAGACCTGAAGCATCCGAAAAATCGGATAGGATTTTATTTAAACTCCTGACATTATGAGGCCTAGCAGACCCAAAAACAAGTAAATCATCAGCATACATAAGATGGTTAAAATTGTTGCCATTAAAATTAAAACCAGTCGTGTTATAACCCAAGGAAATTGAGGTTAAACTGCAAGATAACGCGTCCATAACTAAAAAGAAGAATAGAAGCGATAAATGGCAACCTTGTCTAAGTCCATAAGAAGAGTTGAAAAACCCTTCCAAAGAACCATTCAAGCAAATCGAAAAATGGACATTAGAAATACAACTTTTGACCCATTTAATAAAAATATCGGGAAAGCCTTTTTGCCTCATTCTGTTTAATAAAAAACAACGAGAAACAGAATCAAAAGCTTTTCTAATATCAAGTTTAGCACAAAAAAAGATTATTGGTAAAATTAAAATCTCTAAGAACTTCAGAGGCAAGCAAAATGTTATCAGTAGAATTTCTGTTATGAATGAAACCAGCCTGGCTCTCGTGAATTATGAATGGTAAAATAGGCATCATGTGATTGGCCAGAAGTTTAGCAATAATTTTGTAGAACACATTGCATAAAGAAATTGGCCTGAAATCATTAATATTGTTAGCATGCGGTTTTTTGGGAATAAGAATAATAGCAAAAGCTTTAACCCCTTTGGGGAGATGGCAAGTGGAGAAAAAACTATTGATGACCTTACATAAATAATGCCCGATAATATGTCAAGATTTTTTATAGAAATCAAAAGTATAACCTTCAGGTCCCGGGGCAGAGCAAGAGGATCCATTAAAAATCACATTCTTAATTTCCAAATCAGAAAAAGGAGTCGTTAAAGAACCAATCTTATCCGATGGAATCACGTTACCCACAGGTATGTTGAAATTGTTCTCCTTAACCGGCTTAGGAGAGTTATAAATCTCTTTGAAGTGCTTAATTATCTCCTCAGCGATATCAACATGATTATCAAACTTACCATTAGAAGTGGTAATTTCTTTAATAGCATTCACATTATTCCTAGCTCTGATCTAAGCATATAAAAAACCAAGGTCATTTTCACCATTTCTAAGCCATTTGGACTTAGCTCTCTGAAACAGCCAAGAAGACCAAGCCTTGCTTAAAATATTAATATTGTCAAAAGTGAGCTTGTAAAGCCTATTTAAATTCATGTTTAACAGGTCATTTTGCAAATCAGAAATATAACTAATCTGCTTATCTTTTAAAACTTGCAAAGAATTTAAAATGTAGCACGAAGAAGACCAATTCTTATTCTTCAAAGAATTCTTAAGGATCTGCAAAGACTTATAGAAAGCAGCTATAGGACTACAATTAAATTGCATATCAAAGGAAACCTCCTCCCAATAACCAACCATATTAATCCAGAAATTTTTAAACAATAATCTAGAGGGTTTTTTAACCCAACTGGAAGCAAATAAAATTAAAGGAGAATGGTCCGAACAATGCGTAGGCAAGACTTTATAAAAAGCGTTAGGAAACCTATCAAGCATGGAATTATTGATGAGCATTCTATCTAATTTAATATGAATGGGGGATTCAAGCCTTTGATTAAACCAAGTGTAAAAAAGCCCTACAGAAGCTAAGTCTAGCACACCACAATCAAAAATAATATTATTAAGCTCACCCAGATGGCTATTAAGAACCTGATGACCACTGGATTTTTCTTCCTCAGATCTATAACAGTTAAAATCACCCATGATAACCCAGGCCATGGAGGGATCTGGGATTAAACTCCTCAGCTGATTCCATAAAATACTCCTGTCAGTGGCATTGTTAGCAGCATAAATAACAGAAAGTAAGATATGAGATTGAGTCCCAACAGATAAAGTGCCATGAATGATTTGGGAAGAGATAAAGAGGGGAGAAAAGGAAATAGTAAGAGGGTTCCACTTGATCCAAATCCTACTAGGATTTGAGTAACCGAAATTGTTGCTACTGTCCTCATTATTAAAAACCGTATGAGAGTTAACAAACCAAGGATCGGATAAAGCCTCATTATTGACTTTAGCTTCTAAAATTCAAATCATGCTAAGATTGTAAGAACTAACCAGCTCTCTACAAGCTTTCACCTTGTTAGGGTTATTGAAACCCCTAACGTTCCAACAAGCAATATGGGGAAAAAACATTAATACTTGGAATTTTTTCCTTTCCTGGCCGATTTAGCTCTGGTATGCACAGAGACAGGGGACTTTTGAGATTTGTTACCATCAGAATTAGGAGAGGGAGGAACCTCTACTGTACCATTACTATCATGCGAGTTAGCTTCAGATCCCATATCTTCCATCTCTTGTATTGGAAGGTCATCCGATTGGAGAGCATCGAACTTATTAGAAAGCATAACCTTAGACGTAGGAATAACATATGGAAGAGAGGGTTGCCATGAGGAAGAAACTTCCTCGATAGGAAAATTCAGATTAGGAATAATTGCATCAAGAGTCGTGCAATTTTTAGTAATCACGGGAATATTTTCCTTTTCCATAGAAGGGGCTAAATTTGGAAGGGGGATAACGTTCGAATTATTACCTTCCAAAATTACCTTTTCTGGGGATGGGGGTTTCGCCTGAGCTTGGATTTGGGATCTCGGATTCCGGCTAACACTTCTTCCTCTGTTTCTGGGTTTAGGGGGTGGTAAAACAATAGGCGTAGGATTTGGATTAGCTTTGCAAGAGGCAAAGGTATGCACCAAAGAGCCACATCCTTCGCAGCGACTTGGCTTCCAGTCGTAAATAACTTTTAACATGATATCTTCTCCTTTAATATTAATCAGAATTTCATCCGGGAGAGTCGAATCTTTAGTGATAGAAACACAAATCCTAGCAAAAGTTAATCTAGCTCGTCTGGAAGTAAGAGAATCAACGGATAGTGGAATCCCGATATAACTAGTAATGGTCGATATATCTTTCGAGGTCCAAAGGGCCAGGGGAAGATCGACAATTTTAATCCAAAGGGGGATAGAAGAAAGTTCATCCCTCTTTGGCTGGAATTTGGGAGACCATTTTTGAAGAATGAATGGTTTTCCCAACATGAACCAAGGGCCCCCGGACCAAACCAGATCAAAATCTTCTTGGTTAGAAAACTTGATAAGGAAAAAACCATTAGCCATAGATAGTAAGGAAAACGAACCTTTCAAGATCCAAACCTTTTTCATGGCAGCAAGAAGTCGCTCATAATAGGGCCTTGGCCCTAGAGAGTATCCGACTAACGAAAAAGACCAAACCGACAGACCTTCGATTAGATCTTCTTCTTTGAAGGTGAGTTTCTGACTTAGACGGACAAAGGAAACCGA